ACCCGGGAAAGCGGCGCCCTGTTTAGGCTGTGAGTTGCAGTCGCCCGCCCGAACAGGAAGGTGGGTGTTGCAGCCACCAAGGGACAGGTATCGTCAAAAACCCACAACACCCACCCGCCACACCCGGGCAAGGGCCGTGTCTCCGTTGCTGAAATATATTGGGTATTCCACTTTCTCGTGTCACCCGATTGCCAGCCAGGCCCGTCGCTCCCGAAGAGAAGTTAATCCGACGGCGTATAGGTTTTATCCGGGAAGGCTATATGAGAGAGTATTAAGGCTGCATATGGCTGGGTTAAGCTTCATCATTGTGTGCAGGGGCACGGGGGATAGGCAGTGGGGCGCGGGGACTCCGGGGTGCGTGGGGAACGCCGTCGGTGCATATCGTGGGATTGTGCCTATCTACACTAGCCAGAAATTTCGGCCACATGATGAAGAAAAGGAAATTTTCCTTGAAGGCTATAGCTATAAGCTAGCTAGGGGGCCGGGGATGCGTATGGTTCTCAGCTGCTGGTACGATACGGTACGATGACTGGGCTCATCCGGCGGAGAAAGAAAGGGGATTCCTGGGGCTTGTGGTTTCTAGCTGCATTATACGATGTGGGCTGTGGTGTTGTTGGGTTCGCGAACCCGTCTCCTCCGGTGGTGGTGATGATGGTTAACATTTTAATCTTGATGACTTGGTACTAGGTGTCTACTATACTGTACCGTATCATCTCGTGAAATAGTGTGCGCCTCAGTAGGGGTTCAGTCCAAACTAGAAACACTCTATGTACGTCAATTCTGTAGGTGTTCCTCTACTTCTCTCTTCTACACTACTATACTTTACTTACTCTGTAGTCTGTAGTCTACATGCAGCCCAATATCCTTTTTTAATTTTTTCTAGACGTCTCAATTTGCCCCCCCCCCTTCATATCCCCCGCACCGGTTTTTCCGTCGCCACTTCATGACTGCCGATGTGATGTAACGTGTCACGGCATCTGAGCTGAGTAGCGTACTATGGCTCAAATCTGAGACAGACCGGTTTCCCCGCATGCTCCATACTGTTCCTGCATCTGGTGGGGCCAGCCAGTATGAGTACCGTGGGTGGGGCTGGCTGGCTGGCACTGTACTGGCGGGACCGTGCGCCGTCGAGCCGTCGATCCGTCTGTTCCTGTCGCGGTGCTACTCGGAGAATTTGATCTTCATCATATGCATCCTTGGGAGGGCCTGTGTGAGGAGTAGGGGAGGGGAAGAGGGGGAATCTTGCAGGAAAACCGGGGTTTTTTCTTCTTCTTCCTCATTGTGAGTGTGAGAAAGGAATCAAGGAAGGAAAGGTGTTGGGAGGATGAGGTTTTGGGCTGGTGAAAATCAGTATATAAGCTCCATTTCCCACCCCCTCAACATCAGTCCTCACCCCTCACACTCACTCCATCACATCCACCACCACCAGCACCATCGTCGGCACCGTCACAATGCAGTACTCAACCTACCTCGCAGTCCTCGCCACTCTCCTCCGCCTTACAGTTGGGCAGAAGGTCGGTACCTACACCACTGAGACCCACCCGTCGCTCAGTTCGCAAAAGTGCACGAGCAGCGGATGCACAACTCAGTCTACCAAGATTGTGCTCGACAGCAACTGGCGCTGGCTCCACACTACTGTGGCGAACCAGTACACCAACTGCTACACCGGTAATGCCTGGAACACTGACTTGTGCCCGGACCCAACGACCTGCGCGACCAACTGTGCCCTTGATGGTGCGGACTACACCGGAGTCTACGGTATCACAGCGAGCAGCAACGCGCTCACCCTGAAGTTCGTTACCACGGGGACAAACAAGAACGTTGGAAGTCGTGTGTACCTCATGGAGAATGATACCAAGTATCAGATGATCAACCCTCTAGGTGGAGAGTTTACCTTCGATGTGAGTATCCCTATATGAACCTAGTACTTCAGGGGTAGCAATTTATGGGGTCTAATGATGGATGATGTGATAGGTCGATGTCAGCAACCTTCCCTGCGGATTGAACGGTGCTCTCTACTTCTCGGGCATGGACTCGGACGGTGGTATGACGAAGTACCCCAGCAATACCGCTGGTGCCAAGTACGGTACCGGTTACTGCGATGCCCAGTGCCCCCATGATATCAAGTTCATCAACGGCGAGGTAAGCCTTCCCCCCTCCCCCTTTTTATATTTCCCCAGCTAATATTCCATCCAGGCCAACACCCTCGATTGGACCGCCTCTGCCACCGACTCCAACGCTGGAACTGGTCGCTACGGAACTTGCTGTGATGAGATGGATATCTGGGAAGCCAACAGCATGGCCACTGCCTACACTCCCCACCCTTGCACATCCACTGGCCAGACCCGCTGCAGCGGAACCGAATGCGGTGATGGTGACAACCGTTACGGCGGTATCTGTGACAAAGACGGATGCGACTTCAACAGCTACCGCATGGGCAACACCGGCTTCTACGGTGTTGGAAAGACCATCAACACCAGCCAGCCGTTCACTGTCATCACCCAGTTCATCACCTCCGACGGCACTGCCACCGGTGACTTGATCGAGATCAAGCGCAAGTACAAGCAGAACGGCGTCGTCTACGATAACAGCGCCAGCACAGTCACCAGCGTCACCGGAAACAGCATCACCGACGCCTTCTGCGCTGCCCAGAAGACTGCCTTTGGCGACACCAACGACTTTGCCACCAAGGGTAAGTTGAAGAAGATGGGCGCTGCCTTCAAGAACAACGGCGGAATGGTTTTGAGTATGAGTATCTGGGATGACCATGCGGCACACATGCTTTGGCTCGACAGCTCCTACCCTCTGGATAAGGCCTCAACCTCGCCCGGTGTTAAGAGAGGAGAGTGTGCCACCACCACCGGTGTTCCCTCTGAGATTGAGGCTTCCGCCCCCAACTCGAGCGTCCAGTTCTCCAACATCAAGTGGGGTGCTTTGAACACCACCTACTAAGTGGTTTGTGGGTTTGGGTGCGACTTTTTGTATCTGATCTAGCTGGATTCTTCTCTCTCTCTCTCTCTCTGTGTGTGTGTGTGTGTTTGAAAAGGGGTGATTTCTTATGTGGTGGAGGAAAAATGAAAAAATGAAAATGTATTTTGTAGCTTTGCGGGTTGTTGCCGGGACTGGCTACTTGTAGTTAGTTTTTTTGGCTGGTCTTGTTTTTTTGCTCTGGGAGCACTTGAAAAAAAATATATATATATATCGTATATCTTATACCTGATCCATCGTTCTTTGTGGCTTGCCTCCTTCGGCTTCATAGTTTGCATTCGATATTCATTTCCTCTTCCGGAGAGTAAAAAACTCCCTTCCTTCCGGGGGTGCGTCACAGGCTATGACTCGATGCGCGCGGGTACTCATCAGATTTTGCAACTTCTCCCGGCCACGCGCACCTTACATGTAGTTAGCTAGTCTCACTTCTTTCTCTAAGAGCACTGGAATAGTAAATTTGTATATCTTGTTAATCGGCCGTTATTTGTAACTAGCGTCCTTCATTTTCATGGTCCGTTCGTACCCCCCATGACCCCAAATTACCAACCTCGCGAAGTATCATGCCTCACCTTTGTCACTTGGGTGCGAGACTTGCCTGATGTTATCAAGTCTTGTGTTGGCAAGATTTAAATAACAGCTTGGGAGTCGGAATCAAGCGTCACCTGCCCACCTCGGCATTTCGAAGTTTTTTTTTTCTTTCTTTTTTTGTAGTTGGCGGGCCTGATGGGCTCCGGGGGGTGGTGGATGGACCTTTTTTGTGTGTGAGCTTTTTACGTCACATCGGGAGGGTGATGTCGGGTCGGGCAGGCGCGGCAGAAGGGGGGCTTTTATCCTTGTCTAAAAATCATAGAGAGTAGTTGGAGAGATCCCTACGCTGTTCCAGTACTCCTGCTCCTTCCCTCTAAGCGCCCAACGAGAAAAGATTCTGGCACATGAAGCGGTCTCGAGTTAATCATGAGGTATCACTCTTAGTCATATCTTATCACTCGGTACATCGTTTATTGTTAAAGACCTAAAGAGCCGGATGAGAGGTTAGATTAAGGACTGGACCTAGTTGAGGACTCGCCAGAGCCAAACACAGAGACAGCGTAAAAGTAAATAATGACTAAATGTGCTCTTCTGGCTGTGGCTTCAGCGAGGCTGTGTGGTCGTCGGGAGTCTTGGTAGGTTGTCGGCCAACTAATCAATGGTTGCCTGGGGTCATGAGATCTCACTCGACAACGAAATCAATGCCGGAAATCGAGAAGAAAAGAAATGCACCCATACAAGATTATCCAGAGTATTTCACTAATTACTCATCAGAAGTAGAGGATCTAACATAGCGTATCCTAGACTAGTGAACCATGTGCGACAAAAGGCCTCGAGACTTTGTTTCCTTGGACGATATGAGACAAGCCGAGATTATTCAGAGGGGGCCAGATGGTTAGGCTCGAAACTTCTCTTAGACCGCCTCAAAACATTGTAAAACGGAGCAACCCTTTAGGTGGTTGATCTAGTACACATATTAGTACGTGTGTAGGATTCATACAAACCCCAACCCGAAATTTGATTCTGTATAATACTACAAGACCTCGTGATTTAGCGGTGGTTGTTGGGATGGTTTCGTGGTAGAAAGGCTTGGTCGATTGGTAACGTACAGTGGAAAAGAAGAAGAAAGGAAAATGGCGGTGGGCGCGTGTGCGGGTACAGGTAAAGAACAGTCACGGAGAGTCCCCTTTGCTCGTTCTTTCACTAGACGCTACTTATGTACTTAATAACCGTCACTCCAACAGTGGTCTGTGCGGCTGCAGTCTTGAGACTTTTCGTAACGGCTACTATAGGTCCGTTTAACAATAAAACCCTCTTCCCAGATGCAAGACGAGAGAAGTCTCGCCTGGTGCCCATTATCACCCAGGAACCAACCCTACTCCCCTAACCCCGCCCCTAAACACACACACCCAAGCCATAAAACACCTAAAAGCCCATAGAACTAGGTACTAGCTTATAACTCACTCAAAGACAGATATATTCAAGCTCTGCTGGTGCAATTGGTCAGCACGCCCTCACCAAAAACATTAAAAACTTATAAAACCGTGGGAGATTTGGGTTGGAACCCCAACTAGAGCAATTTTTTTGAGTTTTTTAGCCGGAAAAGGGAATTGGCGAGCCTTGACCAAAGTTTGAAGAACCAATTATTTTACGAAGAGTGCACCTACACAAACTCCCGTAATGGGTGATAGGTTATCCTTTCGTTGTCTCGAACCAGGCCCCAAAGACTCCGTGAATCTCCAACAATTCTTTCTAGCTTTAGAACGGTTTGTTTCTGCATATGCGCATGGAATTTGTGGATTAAACAAAAAGAAATAAGAGTGACGTGTTCTTAATGTATGCGTCGAGTGATAATCTATGCTGCGTAACTAGACCTCAGAACCCTAACCCACTACCCAAATGTCCCCAGATTTTCTTCAAATGTCCCCAGAAGTTTTGTACCCGTAGTTTTTTTACTTCCCTGTTTTGTTTAATTCATTAATGGTAGGTAACCTTGCGGCTATGCCAATTTCGTACCTGCTTGCCTACAATGAATAGTAGGTTGGGTGAGGTATGGGTGAGCTCGTTCATAATGTCCATTGGATGACACTTAAATCCAACCTCCAACCTGGGTTCACCCATCGTGGAATCTCGGTCTGAAAGTCTGTGGTAGGAAAGAAGTTGGGGGTCGCCTATTTCCTTTTGTGTGTTTTCGTTGCCGTGCATATTACAAAAGAACTGCACCGGCGTACCACGAATGTTCATTCCCTCCATACATTTACATTCACCCCGCCTTCCTAGCACCCACGCACACTGTTGCATACTGTCGTTCACGGGGGGGATGAAGAACACTAGACCGTTCCTCTGACAGACAGGCCAAAAACAAGATAGATACTCGCCTTTCAATAATGTGATCGCCCGACAACGGGAGCCTCATGAATTGCACGCCCCCCCGAACTTCCCCCCGAACTCATGCAATTCCCCACCAAAGTATTTGATATCGATCCCCACCAGACTCAGTAGAACTCGTGCCTGTATTCAATAGTTTGTAGGTAGTTAATTATTCTTATTCCAATAAGATCTTTATTCATAATAGTATGACTTTAGCGAGCTATATGGCACCTAGAGCCGTCAGCACAAGCATTACAAAAGAGAGTCCCTCCTACTGCCAAAAAAAGAGGCCGACCATCTAAAAGATTAACCAAAGAAAAAACCCAGAAAAAGTGAGTCAAAGGCATTGATTGGTCAGGTACCGGAACCTTGTACTAAAGCCCCACCTCTACCCTTTTTTTCACAAAGTAAAACAACAAAAAGGTGAAGCTGTTATTATGGAGGATGGTGCCGGTCCTCACAGCCATTATTTATTAAAAGAGGAGAGGAATAAAGCGGGCATTGTGCAGGAGGGTTGGCCATCATCATCACCTGACTTGAAACCAATTGAAATTATTTAGGACTATATGAAGAATAGTATCTCTACCCGCAGGCCTAAGGTCACTCTCAGAACTGTACTAATTGAAGAATGGGACGCTATACCCCGGGAGAAAATCAATGAGTTGATGGGTAGTATGCTTTCTCGCATTATAGCATGTATTAAAGATAAGGGAGGCAACGACTAAAACTTTTAATTTTTACACATAGTCTATACTCATCTCCTGTATTTTCTATATCACACTGTACTCTTATATCTTTTATTCAATATCTGGTTGTTGAGTTATTTGGGTTTTTGTATTTCAGCGTGGGGGTTGGTTGCATGCGGCCGGATACAATATTGTTACGTGAGGACTGTAGACGTAGCCGTAAGGGTCTAAGGAACACAACCGAAGCAGGAGGCTTACAGGTAAACTCTAAGCAAGCTAAGTATCTTGGAACTCTCTTGGCTGACGAGACCAAGAGATCGTAGATGTTGGACTATGAAGGAATAAAACTAATAATATTCTTTTAATACAAGAGGTTGCGTGAAGAGAAAAGGAAAGGAAGAGAAACAGGACATAGACTGAAGACAGGACCCTTTATAGAACCGAATAACCCCTGTCCGAGTATGACTCATATGTTCGCACAAGGAAACAGATAGAATGTAACAGAACCGAATAGAAACACATAGAAACCCATATCACTCATCCTCCGACCATTGCTACCACACTTCTCTTCACGCACAACACATTAGTATTCTATTACTTGCCACGATGCCATAACAATTATTGAAAGGCGAGTAGCAAAGCCCAGTTTTGTCCCTTATCATTAGCTGAATAACATCTGTCCTCTATTATTGGTCTAAAAGCATCTACATGTACCCATCGTATCGGCGCCTAATGTCCGACATTTCCCGCTGAATGATAGTACAGTCACTCACAGGGTTGAGGCAAATCATGTCTGATGGCGGCTAGGGATTTGAGGCCAATATAATAGCAGAGTTAAGTTTGAGACGCCAAGATTAAATCACTGCAAATACAACCATGAGACAGGATCCGCCGTGGCGCCACTAGGTGAACGACTGTATCCGTCAAAGTTTACCTATCCAGGCTTTGGTGGTGCACGCTCTCACCAAAACACACACACACACTATATATATATGGGCTTGAGCTGTGCATGGATAGGCAGGTGGAGATAAATAAATATACAGGAGCACAGTTATATCTTCCATCAAGCCAGGCCGGCGACCATGAATCTCTTGAGAAATTCTGCAGTCGGCTCTTTGTATAAGAGTGGGTTTGATACGAAATAGGAGAGGTGAGATCATCGACTTGGGCCAATACCCTGGTAGATGTCAGCTGGTCGGAATATACCTATATAGGGTCTAGATTCGGTTCTTTATTTCTTAGTTCAACCTCCTCCTCAAATCTTGTCGATAGCGGGCTGGTTTGAAGTAAATATACATATATACACCATTCCGATCCAAACACCACCCACACTTCTCTGGAGTTCTGGCCGGCGCACTAGGTAGTCCTTTGTATGCACTCATGTGGGGTAGGACGTAAGGCTGTGGGTGCATGATTAATTATCAACGGAAGCTTCAAAGCTGCCCTTGTTGCCGCCGGAGATTTGGATCGGCGGTTTGTGTAACGGTGCATTGCAGCAATCTCACCCACATAACTGGGAGTGGTTTCTGTCCGATATGCTTTCAGTGGATGGATGGCCAAACATAAAGGTCCATGGCGCAAGATTGGAGCTGATTGGCTGAAGCAATTGCTCACCGGAGTGATCGATGACGATTGGGAGGCTATAGCTATATATGATGTTTTTTTATTTTTTATATCAGTGTTTCATTTATTTCTGGGTACAAGAATATCGCATGGAGCCTGAGCTATGGCGTGAACAACACCCCTATGCTATATATGATGTGCTGTTTGTCTGTTTATATCTGCTGGTTGATTGAGGACTGTCTATTGAGTGGTCATAGTGCACAAAGGGACATGGACAGGACAGGACAGGACAGGACACCAAGGTACATCTGGGCGTGCGTGAGTAACACATGCATGACCCGCACAAGCTGCAGGTGTTGAGAAACACATGCGGCCATCCCGTAGTACTCGCGACAGGCCTGAGGTACCCGAAAATGCAGCTGCAAGATTTTGGTGTATTTTTGACTTCTACTCCAATGGCAATTGCAGATTAGGGCTTGCATTTCGGGTACTTGTTACCTGCTGCGAGTAGTACCACACGCGGTTTGTGCTCACTATCGCAGCTTGCGTTTAAAAATCACACGCGGTTTGCGGTAAAGATCACACGCGGCTTGGTTAAAGAGCACAAGCTATCTGTGTGTATGGAATATGCTTTACCTGTGTTTGCACTTTTCTTTTTCTTTACACATGCCGCCTGTCCGAGTCTATTATCTGTTTACACATGACCCTTGTGCGAGTTTACAGATGTACCGGGCGTTAAGGATAAGTCTAGAGACGTTTGAGTTATTGGCCGATTGTAATGCAAGTCGTGATTGGCTGATACTCAGACCAAGACAGGACACCGCCACTGCAACCTGAAGGAGGAGGCCCGGGTTGTGGTGAACTCGTACAATATTTTGCGGTCCGTCGAAGGTTTGGAGTTTAACTACAAATGAGAGAACAAAGGGTCTACTGATCAGCGGGGAGGACACTGATGTGGGGCGCCGCCGTGGTATATCTAGAGCACGCCTAATAGCGGAGGCCAATAGATTGGATATACCCATCATTTGTCGGCAATTTAGACATGCGAGCTAAAGATCTACTTTGTATGTTTGGTATTAATCACGAGCAAATGGAAATGGAGGTCACCATGGATGAAGATACCTGTGAGAGAACCGGTACTGAGACACGTCACGTGATCCGGCTGATCAATCCCTTCGTCTGTATTGATGATAGAAGACCTTACCTATTCAAGTGTTTTTTACTCCTAGTGAACCTAACCCTCACTCCGTGAACCATTTTCGCAGGTAAGCCACCCGGCCCTTCCCTTTTATGGCAGCACCAACTCCTCTTCTTGGCTAGATTCTTGCTAATCACTATTGTGAATTTCGGGCACAGAGGAAGGGATGGATGCGTGAGATCGCGTCTAGAGTATACACAATACGCATGTGAACCAGGCTGCGGGTGTGAAGAGATGGCATATGTGTGTTTCTCATCCAGAATGTGTGTGACAGCTACAGGCGCCCGGACTATGTACAGCGCGATTTCGGAAGTGAAGAGGCGGCAACCAAAAATGCCACTTTTCAACCCGGTCCTCAATCGTCAAGATCACATTGGTATGGGATGCAACCAAATCTCCAAGTTGCTCTACTTCTAGCTCATGTAACTCCTTCCACATCTGATTTCAGGGAGTGCCCTCTTAGATTTATTAGATTCGATAGCCGATGTTTTATCCCCTAAAACCGTATTCGTTATTGATGGCAGTTATGTTGTGTGTGGTGGTTGCTGGGGTGCCATGCACAAGTAAATCCCTAATACAGAGAATGCATCCCTAATACAGAGAATGCGCAAGTAAATCCCTATATACAGAGTCGCGGTCTTCACCGCACAAGGCCGTAGCCGTGCACGTGGCGCGTAGCGCTTGGGGTTATAGATAAGCGAGATGACGGTTTGAGGTGGCGGTATGTACGTATAGAGCAGGGAGAGAGATCTAGAGCTGCA